AAGAAGGGTCGCCGGGACGCCTGCTCCCACCGCCATTCATTCTATCACAATGTGTTAGCTAGATTTGATCATATTTCGAAAAATTAACAATTTAATAAATTTATTGCTTGCCATCATTCGCAACTTCACTTCACTTCAATGTTTACAAAGTAGATCGATCAACATGTCTTTAAGAATTACCAATTTTAAACGATTAAATTAGTAGTAAAACAAATCTAACTTAAAACAACGGAAAGGCTATAGGGCGATAATTATGAACCACTTATATTTTTAACATAAATAGGTATTCTAACAAAATAATAAAATTTTGAAAGTTTATCTTCAATCAATTGGTTTTCAAGAAAATAATATTCAGGGAAGCAGGAAGTAATTTTTATCTCTGAATTAAATATACTGATTTTAATTAAAATGTAATGTTCTTAGTGTTGCTAGCAGGGGCGCAACAACGTTACAATTTGATTGGCTGCTCAAAAATGACTAAAAAAAAGGTCATTTCGACGAACTAAACCCAAATCGAGTGGGTCCCCGGGCACCTGCAGACCCCCCTTTGTTGCGTCCCTGGTTGCTAGTAACAATTTCCTGGAATTTATTATTATTTTGTATATATATTTTTTGACAAGCCTCGTTTATTTCTTATAACATATATTTTTATTTAAGTTTTCGGTAGAGGTTGGAATAAAAAAATTAAATCGAAAGAAATTAAATTTTTATAGATTGTTACAACAATATAAAAGAAACTATTTCGCTGACAGAAAGCTTTTTGTACCATTAAAGCATTTTAAATTTTTATCAATTATCATAATATGTACAACTAGTCCAGATAAAAAAGTGTTTTCTTATTATCAGTAATAGGCTTTGGGAGGCCCTATGACCTACCGTAGCTCGATTATCTTTTATTACAAGTTGGTCGTTTCTAAGCAATTCTTAAGTGACGATGCGAGTTTTAGTTACAGTTTAATTAGCATCACCATTGTTGTTTTTTTTTTTCATTTTTAAAATAATTAATTAATTAATAACGTTAATAAGATCTATAGTTGTTGAAGCATGTTGTTGATATTGTTATTGTTTTCACACATGCTAAGCCGTTGACTAATCGATGATCTATCAGTGTGTAGTATAGCCATGATTAATCTTTACACTAAAAATAGAAAGGGGACCTCGAGAAATTAATTTTCATTGCAATATTCTGGCATAAATCGTTTTCAACTGCATTTCTAATAAATAGATCCTTTATTATTGAAGGAAACACAAGATAATTTATTGGCTCACTGTTGCAGGAATTATTAATTTAATTAAGTTAGGTATGTTAAGTTTTATCAGAATAATGAATTAGAAATNTACTGCAACCTACTTGATCGAGCAGCGCATTTCCGAAGAGGAGATGAAGAGGGCCAGAAACAACTCGCTCAGTTCTCTCGGGATACAGTGATTCTCATTACAAGTAATTGGTGGTACAAAGGACGTATGTCTTGTCTTTCTTCTATTTTATTATTTTTGGGTGTCCTTTTTATCAGACGCTTTAAATTCCATGTGCGACTACAATGTTAATATTTTTTAATAATTTCATTTTACATCGGCGATTCCAAATTCTTAAAGAGTGGAATTTTCCGAATACAAAAACCGCTATTAAAAAATACATTGTGTTTGCTTTCTGAAATTAGCATAAACTTTGTTGGGTCTTCATTCATGCATACATACATACAGACAAATATACGCATACATACTTGCATTAACAGTCACACATACGCATATACCACATACACATTGCATATGTCGATATTTTTATCGCATGACATTCCTTATAACTGAAATCTCGGAGTATGAAGTAATATGTATTTGTTCGTTGCATACTCATACGTTAATTAATTTTTCATGAGTAATTAGATATGAGTTAATTCTATGTACATATGTTTATGTGTCACGTAAAAAAACGGCTCCTAATTTCCGGGTTTCTCTTGCGATTGATATTTTGTTTAAATAAGTTACACGCTATAAAACTGATTTAAATGAAATTAATTTGGATATACTTAATTACTATTTATTTTTCTCTTTAATGGTAACAGCCAAACATTTTCATGTCCGTGTATTTTACTTTTTTTGATATGGGTATATTTATCACACCGTGTTACTTGATGTAGGTATAGTGAATTATTTATTTAAAGTCTAAATTTATTTCGACCTTCCCCTCTAAATAAAAATTATGTAATAAGTCCCTTGTTGCATTTGCATGCAGAAGTGCAGATAATAAGTGTGAGTGTGTGTTAAATATATTGTATATGTTTATGCATATATATGTATCTCGACACCCACGTCAAATCTAAAAAAAGACTTATTGTTTCTCACAACGAATAGTGCATTTGGTGCTCATTTAAATAACAGATTGTTACTTATTATTATTGTTAATTAATTAATTACTAATACTAATTACTATTATTACTACTACCTACTGTAACTACAAAAAGTTGTTTATAGTCTTATAGTGATTTTAAAAAACTGTTAAATCCGTATTTCTTTTTTCAATACGTTTGCTCTCATACTATTTTTCAAATGTAAAAAAAATAGCTTCTAGTGGCAGATAGGTAGTAAAGAGTTAAAGAAGCGAACCACTTTTGAAAAAATCTTACGTTACTCTATATACAAAGAAGAGAAAAAAAGTTATATATACTATTGCTGTGATATTTGAGAACTAGTTTTGCGACGTGTGCCGCGGCGTGTTTGTGTCCCTGCGACTTTTCCGGTCCAATCGACGTTTCCACATTTACATAAATTAATATTCCATATCTTTGTCGTTGTGCTTTGGATGTTTCTCTTGCGACAAGAAGGGTCGCCGGGACGCCTGCTCCCACCGCCATTCATTCTATCACAATGTGTTAGCTAGATTTGATCATATTTCGAAAAATTAACAATTTAATAAATTTATTGCTTGCCATCATTCGCAACTTCACTTCACTTCAATGTTTACAAAGTAGATCGATCAACATGTCTTTAAGAATTACCAATTTTAAACGATTAAATTAGTAGTAAAACAAATCTAACTTAAAACAACGGAAAGGCTATAGGGCGATAATTATGAACCACTTATATTTTTAACATAAATAGGTATTCTAACAAAATAATAAAATTTTGAAAGTTTATCTTCAATCAATTGGTTTTCAAGAAAATAATATTCAGGGAAGCAGGAAGTAATTTTTATCTCTGAATTAAATATACTGATTTTAATTAAAATGTAATGTTCTTAGTGTTGCTAGCAGGGGCGCAACAACGTTACAATTTGATTGGCTGCTCAAAAATGACTAAAAAAAAAGGTCATTTCGACGAACTAAACCCAAATCGAGTGGGTCCCCGGGCACCTGCAGACCCCCCTTTGTTGCGTCCCTGGTTGCTAGTAACAATTTCCTGGAATTTATTATTATTTTGTATATATATTTTTTGGCAAGCCTCGTTTATTTCTTATAACATATATTTTTATTTTTAAGTTTTCGGTAGAGGTTGGAATAAAAAAATTAAATCGAAAGAAATTAAATTTTTATAGATTGTTACAACAATATAAAAGAA